TAAAGCAGCAGAAGCGCGCCGTCAGGACCTTGCCAGCACTGATAGTGGCAGCTACACGTCCTGCTTGACAGCTCAGTTGGAGGAAGAAGTTCAATCTTGGGCTCAGGCATGGGGGGAAGCAGGACGTGATCCGTTCCAGACGTTTGAATGGCCTGAAGACATGGTCTTCCCGAAGGCCCCTGAGATTGACGAGGTGATAGCCCTCAGCAAGAGCTTCAAGAGGGCAACCATCGCAGCTGATGGCTTTCACCCGCGGCATTATTCTATTTTATCTCGCCCTGCAGTTGCTGTAATTGGACAAGTCATGTGTCTCATGACGGTGCTAGGAGCGCCCCCCTCCTGGATGCGCACTCTCCAGATTGCGTTGTTCCGAAAGCCTGTGGCTGGGCGTAGACCTATCGGATTTTACCAATCTATCATTCGGATGATATCTCGGTGGCATTCTCGGGACTGCAAAAACTGGGAGAAGTGTGTCCAGGACAGGGGGGTATTTTCGATGGCGCCGTCCAGGTCCCCAGCAGATACTGTATGGCGGCAATCTCTTCGTGGGGATCTAGCTGTAGGAGATAACAAACACGTCTTATCACTCCTGGGTGATCTGAAACAATGTTATGAGCATGTCCAACATCCTCAGCTAATACGCACGGCTATTGACTGGAAATTCCCACTGCACTCATTAAGATTCGCACTGCACACTTATGGGTGGAGGAGGGTCTTATGCATGGATGGGATGGTTTCAGATCCTATTGAACCTGGGCAGGGGATTGTGGCGGGGAGCAGCACTGCAACGTTTGAAATCAAATGCTACTGTATCCCTAGTGTTAACGCCTACCTCGAGCGTGGCTTCACCCCTTCACTGACGGTTCATGTTGACGACTTTGGTTTGAATGAGTATAACGATTCTATTTCAGGCTGTGTTACGAACATGGCCATGGCACTGGCTTATCTTATCGATAACCTTTCCAACCTCTTCAACCTCTCTTTCTCCCTCAAAAAGTTCTGCTTGACGGGCACGAGCGTGGCTCTGGTCCGCGCTGCACAAGCAGGGCTGCAGAAGTTTGCAGGAGCTTACGGCCCGTCGATTGTCAACCTGGGCGTCGATTTTGCCCCAGGTAAGCATCGGAAGGTGATGAAGGGCAAACAAAAGAGGAGGGAGAGGGTGTGCAAAGGGAAAAGACGGCTCTACAAAATTGCCTCACCGAAGAATCCCAAGCGGTCCAGGGCCAAGGTTTGGTTTTGCGGGGTCAAGCCGGCTGTGACGTACGGGGAGGAGGTGGTGGGGTGGAATCCGTTGGAGATCAGGAGGTTACGCTCCCAGGCGGGAGGCTTCCTGGGACTGACGAGCTGTGGAGCAGATCTCGACTTAGCTTTTTCGCTGGAACCTGAGAGGGATCCACTTCGTCATGCAGGTGCTACGGTCACCAGGTATGCCAAGGAATATTGGCTGACTACCTCGGTGGAGCACAGGCAAGGAGACTGCTTGACGGTAGGTGAGCTGTCTAAGATTATTCCGCTGGTTCAGAGACACCTGGAGGCGTACCCTAGAAGATCTTGGGACTTCAGAGCCTGGGGACCTGTGGGGGATATGCTCCAGTGGATGCACAAAGCGAAGTGGGATGTTGTGGGGCCTGGACATTTCTCGAGGCGCAATGGGGACCCCCTCATCCTGACGGCCACGCCTCACTGTCAAGTCTCCAAGTATTTCGTGAGCGACTTAGGTAACCAGATGATTTCAGATCGAATGGACAAATACTTAGGAGAAAGCGACCACGAACGTGCGAGAGAGATCCTGGACAGGGGACTTTGGGTGGAACCTCCGAGGGCCTTCTGGAGAGGAAAATCGCACAAGAGGTCGAAAGTTCACCGTCGATGTGTTCGTCAGGTTTTTACACGTTCGCATGTCACTGCCAGTACTCTCCATCGATGGGGATATCAGGTGTCCCCGCTGTGCCCGTTCTGCCGCAGCGAACAGAGTGGGTGCGTGGACACGATCTGGCACAGGCTTTTTGTATGCCCTGGCTTGCAGGAGAAAAGGTCTGAGTTTTTGCCTGAGGAGCTGGTCAAGCGAGGGCTGGAGGCTGGTGCCGAAGACCCCCTGTACAGCTACCTGTGGCACCCGTATCCTGCTGGCATCTCTCCGTGTGCTTGGGATGGGGAGGTGAAGTATGTGGGCTCAGACTACCAACCGTGTGACAGATTTTGTTTTTCTGGGAATGAGTTTATCTATTCGGACGGCTCCTGCAAGGGGCCCACTCTCCCTGTGTCTCGGGCTGGGTGGGCGGTGGTGGCTGTCGACGAGGAGGGAAGGTTTCTCAAGGCTGTATTTGGGAATGTTCCTGGATTCCTCCCTCAGAGCGCTGTCTTTGGAGAAGTGTATGCGCTGCTGCAGGCGCTCGAGCATCTAGATAGCTCGGTCGGCGACGTGCCAGAAGAGTATGTCATCCATGTCGACTGCAACTCTCTGCTCTCGGGCTCGGAGAACAGCTTCACGGCTACCTCTGGCTCGACTCCATTGTCGGAGGTGTGGAGAGTACTCTTTCAGAGGCGCTACCCAGAGTGGCGCCTGAAGAAGGTTCGTGCTCATCAGACAGATGAAAATCTCACAGGAGTGCCTCTTCGACACAAGCGAGGAAACGATAAAGCAGATGAGTTTGCCAAGGATGGGGTTCACTCACACCCCGACGTCCTAGATAATATTCACAAATATGAAATGGCGGAGGCAGACTGGAATGAGGTTGCGATGCCAGTAGCTAAGTTTCTGTCTGATCTGCCGACGGCCAAGGAGCTGTTCGGTAAGCTTAACAGAGAGCCGCGACCCCCGAAGCCGAGAATTGTCTCCAATGGCCGTGCTCACCGTGTGCTTTGGAACGGTTGCCGCTGGCGGTGCGTCCAGTGCGCCAGGTGTTTCTCTGTGAAGCGTGCGCCAGGTAGATGCGCCAGATTACCCCCAGCTCTCAAGGAGCTGGCAAATGTCCAGCTAGATCGCCCACACAAGCTGTATGTTTGTAGAGTGATCGAAACGGATCTCCCGATTGTGTTTTGTTTGGTTTGCGGGGCCTATACTTCAGGCCAACCCCGAAAGCTGGGGGGCCCATGTGACAAAGTGTATGTGGTGCAGCGTCGCCAGATTCTTAATGGCAGACTCCCGTGGCCGAAGAGTCACCATGTCTCCCACCCCTGGCCCCTCACCCCCGATTGCCCCAAAGGGGGAGAGTGGTGGAATACGCTGTACTAATTCATATTAGTTTTGGTCAGCCCTTTCGTTCCTGGAATGGTAGGGTGAGGAGAGAGCCACTGGAAAAGGAGGAGGAGGAGAGGGACCAGTGCAAATCCAAGACGCACCAACGATGTTGCAATAAACCCTTCCTCCGAGCTCCCTCTCCATATGGCCCTGCGCGAATTTCACATCACTGCGAGAAATGCCCCATTGGAAGACAACCGTTTGACAATCCTCAATCGTGCCCAACCACAGTTCTTTGGACTTCAGCGTGGCGAATCAACCCGGCTCTTGCATCCTGACAGTCCTAAACCGTGCCGGAACATTAGGCTTAGGACGTCAGCACCGCGAATCAATGTGATTATTGCGTCTTGGCAGTCCTCAGTGCTGCCAGAACACCATTCTTGGGACGTCGGCCACGCGAATCTTCCAAAATGGTTGCAACAGAACGAAGGCGCGCGGCGCTAAGGCGAGAGCCGCATCTTGAAAAGGAACCTCCAGTATTCTTCGAAGCTGCGACCAGCCTTGAAGACGTATATGCACGGCGCTCAGGCGAGAGCGACATTTTGAGAACCGCCCGCCCTCTATCTGCGAAGTTGCTGCAATTCTTTGAGACAACTGTGGGCGGCGCTAGGGAGAGAGTTACAGATTGAACGGCCCGCCTTAAACCTCACCTGCCTTTAACCTTTTTGGAACTCTGGTATATGTCAAGCTTCAGGATCGCACATTGTTAGGAAGTCTCCCGCGAAACGCCCAGTCCGCCCTATCGGGGCCTAAGAGACAGGGGACAGTGCAAACGGGGGTCAGCCAGAGCGCCAGATCCTACAGGATCCTGCGAAGGCCCCTCTGGCTGACCCGGGTTAGCGAGCCGCTCGTGGCCGCGAGGCGGCCGCTCGTATTGGCGGACCCTGGTTTGCGAAGACCTGCGCTGCCGTCTTTTTTGTTCCTGCACTGCAGTTTTTGGTTTCCTGCTGACCCGGGTCCGGATTGTCCCGGGTCAGAATCAGGAGGGAAAAAAACACACAGACACAATTATTCGTCGACTCCCAGAAAGTATGGGCAAATATGGGAAGTGGGGGGGAAGACAAAAACCCAGATCATATGGGAAAGTATGGGGAAGTATCTTATTTGTGTGTATCTATGTGTGTGTGTGTCCTTGGGCCCCTTCACAGAAGATCCCCGACCCTGCCCACACGTGTGACACATCCGGAGCTTCAGGAGCACAAAACGGCGAGGAGGTCTCGGGGCGAGGCGCCCAGGCCCGTCCTGCTGACACGTCTGGTGGCGCGACGGGGAGGAGTTATGTCTACATACGGGAGAGGAGGAGGAGGAGGAGCACGAGGAGGAGGAGGAGGAGCAGGAGCAGGAACACGAGGAGGAGGAGGAGGCGGAGGCGGAGGCGGAGGCGGCGGCGGCGGCGCGGCGGCGGCGGAGGAAGAGGAGGAGGAGGGAGGAGGGAGGAGGAGTGGGGAGGAGTGGGGAGGATCGGGGAGGCGGGAGGCGGGAGGAGGGAGAAGGGAGCAGGAGGAGAGGAGGAGGAGGAGGAGGAGGAGGAGGAGGAGGACGAGGGAGGAGGAGAACGGGGGAGGGCGACGACGACGACGACAACGACGACGACGAGAGCATCCTCTACCTCGCTTGTCGCCCTCGCCCTTTCCTCCCCCGTTTCCGCCTCCTTTGCCCCTTCGTTCGCCTTCCCCTCCGCCTCCGCGCAGGGATGATGCACCCGAATTCCGCAAGAGTGCAGCCGTAGGCAGTTGTTTTGCCTCTGCGGAGCGCAGAGGTCACGTATATCTTCGACTTGAACGGCAGGTTCTTGCCGTCGCTCGAGCCGCCCGAGTGATCCGCAGCCCACGCCTTGTTGCAGCGAAGGTCCGATTCGGAGGAGCATGTGGGTTGCATTATGCACGTTTATGCGTGCATGTGTGTGTGAGCTGCGCATGTGCGCATACAGGGTGGGGTGGTGGGTTGGAGGGCGAATAGTCTTACGTTGTCCAGCATGCCCTGGCCTCTGGCGTTGTCTTGGGAGCTCTCTGGGACGACCCAAGATGTCCAAATTGTCCAAAGTGCCATAGTTGTAGTGCAACTTTCGCGCGATCAGTTATTATTTTGTTGAGTCGCCCAACACAGCCCAAAATCGCCGCAAGAGATGCTCAAGAGACCCCCAAGAGGGCCCGAAGAGGGCCCAACAGGTGGAACTCGAACTGACATCCCCGCACCACGAACCCCGTAGAAGGTCCCAGGAGGCCAGCAAGCCCGCAGGGGGGGGCCACCGCACACCCCCAGGGGGCACCGAACTCTAAAGCGAGCTGAGGGACATAAGGAGCGGAGCCGAGCGTGTGCCCGCGGCCGCGTCGGTTCAAGCGGCCGGCCGCCCAGATATGACTGCGCCTCATCGCGAGGCACACGATTGTTATCGAGACCAAAAGATCTTCCTATTGCCTCAGATGGCACATACTCTCCTACTGGGACTTTCGGTGCCGCGGTGCAACAGAGCGGGAGCTTGGCTTCGCCTAAGGCGAAGTTGTTGGCTGGGCCTCCCACCCCCCTTCAAACTACCGAAGGCCCCCCTCTGGATACTGGGGTCGGTGGTTGCTGGGGCGGGCCTGGGCCCCCAAATCCCGCTGGCCCACTGCCCATTCCCCGTTCCGGAATCAATTTCCGAGACGGCGCTGAAAACAAAAAAAAAAAAAAAACCATTCCAATACACATTTTTCTTTCTCGAAAATACTGAATTCCCGATTCCAGCGCCCGGGAGACCGATTCCGGCGCCGGGCTCGGCGTCCGAGCCAACGCCGAGGCCGAACGCCCGAACCGGCGCCCGCGCCGAGATCCTCCCAGGCGCTCCCAGCAAGCGCCCGGCACGCCCCCGGGCTCTCCCAGGCGCTCCCAGGCGCCGCCCAGTGCTCCCAGGCGCCACAGGAGCGCCGGAGCGCCCCCGCTCGGATTCGAACTGCCTACGCCCGGGTTCTGTCTCTTTGCCCAAACCGCGCGCCAAATGGGCCCGCTGCACATTCCCCCGTTCCGGAATCGATTTCCGAGACGGCGCTGAAAAAAAGGCCATTCCAATACACATTTCTCTTCCGAAAATGCTGAATTCCTGATTCCAGCGCCCGGGAAACCGATTCCGGCGCCGGGCTCGGCGTCCGAGCCAACGCCCAGGCCGAACACCCGAATCGGCGCCTGCGCCGAGATCCTCCCAGGCGCTCCCGGCAAGCGCCCGGCACGCTCCCAAGCTCTCCCAAGCGCTCCCAGGCACCGCCCGGTGCTCCCAGGCGCCACAGGAGCGCTGGAACGCCCCCACTCGGATTTGAACAGCCGACGCCCGGGTTCTGCCCCTGCGCCCAAACCGCGCACCAAATGCGCCCAGTGCCCATTCCCCCCAGAATCCCACGTCTTCGGCTCCGGAATCGGACTCCTAGGCGGCGCCGAAATAACAGCCATTCCAATACACATTTTTCTTTCGAAAATGTTGAATTTCTGATTCCAGCGCCCGGGAGGTGGTCCGAGCCGATTCCGGCGCCCGGCTCGGCGTCCAAGCCAGCGCCCAAGCCGAACGCCCGAACAGGCGCCCGCGCCGACGTCCTCCCAGGCGCTCCTGGCACACTCCCGGCACGCGCCCAGGCGGTCCCAGGCGCTCCCAAGCGCTGCCCGGTGCTCCCAGGCGCCCCAGAAGCGCCGGAAAGCCCCCGCTCGGATTCGACCCGCCGACCCTTGGCGGGTTCTGCTCCTCTGCCCAAGCCGCGCGCCAAATCGGCCCGGCGCCCATCCCCCCCAGAACCCCACGTCCTCGGTTCCGGAAACTAGGTTTCCGATGCGGCGCGGAAAAATAATCATTCCAAGACGCATTTTTCTTTCGAAAATGCTGCATTTCTGATTCCGGCGCCCGGGAGGTGGCCCGGGCGCCGGAACGCCCCCACTCGGATCCGAACCGCCGACCCTCGGGTTTTGCTCCTCTGCCCAAGCCGCGCGCCAAATCGGCCCGGTGCCCAGTCCCCCCAGAGCCCCACGTCCTCGGTTCCGGAATCGGTTTCCTAGGCGGCGCCGAAAAAACCGCCATTCCAATATACATTTTTCTTTCGAAAATGCTGCATTTCTGATTCCGGCGCCCGGGAGGTGGTCCGAGCCAATTCCGGCGCCCGGCTCGGCGTCCGAGCCAGCGCCCAGGCCGAGCGCCAGAACCAGCGCCCGGGCTGGCGCCTGGGGGTCAGCAAGCGGCGCCACCCCCCAGGAGAGCCCCTGGAACTTGTTTGACAGTGGAGCCCATTGTCAAATGGCCTTCAGCCTCTCCTCCCGGGATGCTCCCGGGCGCTCCCGACACGCTCCCGGCACGCTCCCGGCACGCTCCCAGGCGCTCCCAGGTGTTCCCAGGCGCTCCCACGAGCGCGCGCAGCGCGCTTCGCAGCTGGCGGAAGCTCCCGGCACGCCCGGGCGCACTCCTGGCACGCTCCCGGCACGCTCCCAAGCGCTCCCAGGTGTTCCCAGGCGCTCCCACGAGCGCGCGCAGCGCGCTTCGCAGCTGGCAGAAGCTCCCGGCACGCCCGGGCGCACTCCTGGCACGCTCCCGGCACGCTCCCAAGCGCTCCCAGGCGGTCCCAGGCGCTCCCAGTGCTCCCAGGCGCTCCCAGGAGCGCGCGCATCGCGCTTCGCAGCTGGCGGGAATGCCGCAGTCGCTGCACGTCGCGCCCGCGACGCGCGGCGCCAGCGATGTCAAAGCCGAGCGCTCGGACCCTGCTGGCGGCGTGGCGCCGCGGCGTGTTGCGCAACAGCGCGCCGGAGGAGCGCCGGGCCATCAAGGAGGCCGACAACAAGAAGGAGAGGGAGGCGAGGAGGAAGAGAGAGAAGAAGGAGGAGGCGGCGCAGAAGAAGAACGTACTAGCATCTGCGGATCTCGCGGCGGTATCAATTGGCCCGCGCTATCGCCGAGAGCGCTTCCGCGCGTGCCCGCTCGAAAATCGCGCTCCCTCCCGCGCGGCGTCTGTCTGCCTGCGCTGTTCCGAGAGCGCTTCCGCGCGTGCCCGCTCGAAGATCGCGCTCCCTCCCGCGCGGCGGCTGTCTCCCAGACGTCCCAGAAGCGCCTATTGCGCGCCTTTCGCGCGTGCCTGATCGCAGGCGCCGCGCCTGCTGCGGGGCGCGCTGCGCGCGCTTCTAGGCGCAACGCCCGATCCGGCGCCCGCGCCGAGATCCTCCCAGGCGCTCCCGGCACGCGCCGAAGCTCTCCCAGCTGCGCTCCCAGGCGCCGCCCGGTGCTCCCAGGCGCCCCAGGAGCGCCGGAGCGCCCCCGCTCGGATTCGAACCACCGACGCCCGGCTTCTGCCCCTCTGACCAAACCGCGCGCCAAATGCGCCCAGTGCCTATTCCCCCTAGAATCCCACGTCCTCGGTTCCGGAATCGGTTTGCTAGGCGGCGCCGAGAAAACGGCCATTCCAATACACATTTTTCTGTCGAAAATGCGGAATTTCAGATACCCCATTTTCTTGGAACGCCTTGGGGGCCTCTTGGAAGGCTTGTGGGACGCATATTGGGGGCATCGTGACGGTCGTCAGAGCCTCTTGGGGCGTCTTGGGGGCCTCTTGGGTGTTCTTTGGGGTCGCTGTGGAGCTGTTTTCGGCCCTGTGTTGTTTGCGTCTACAGCGTGGGAGACGACCCACACGCGGTGGCGGATTGAAAGGATTGAAAGGATATTATAATATTTAAAGAGGTTGCTTGTCCCGCTTCAAGAACTGCAAGGTTCAGGAGGGAAAGAAACACACAGACACAATTAATCGGCGATTTCCCAGAAAATATTGGAAAATATTGGAAGTGGGGGGGAAGACGAGAACCCAGAAAATATGGGACAATATTGGGAATATTTTTATTTGTGTGTATTTATTTGTGTGTCCCAGGGCCCCTTCAAAGGTTCTTGCGCGCGCGGAGGGAGACATAGCAGCAGCAGGACCACGAGGAGGAGGACGTCGAGGAGGATGGGCATGTTTTCTGGGCCTTTGCCCACGAACAATCCATTGAACGACGCCAACGAATCTCAGGAGGAAAAAATCACACAGACACAATTAATGGTGGATCCCCCAGAAAATATGGGAAAATATGGGAAGTGTGGGGGGGGACAGAAACCCAGAAATATAGGACATTATGGAGAATCTGGTTATTTGTGTCTATTTATTTGTGTGTCCCAGTTCCCCTTCAGAATCGGACCGACGAGCGGATCATCCCTCGCCCTCATCGTAGACCCCTGGTCGGCGAAAAGTTCGGAGGCGGCATCGGCGAGGGAGTTGGCTAGCTTGTGCTGGGTGCCTCTGAGATCCGACCAGGCGAAGCGTTACACACTAATCGTGAGTACCATCTGGGACATGTGAACCTCGTTTTTTCGACAGAAAGGGGAGCTGGTGGATTATGGCGAGTAAGAGTCGACGAGGAAGAGGAGGAGGAGGAGGAGGAGGAGGAGGAGGAGGAGGAGGAGGAGGAGAAAGAGGAGAAAGAGGAGTAGGGAAGGAGGAGGAGGAGGAGGAGGAGGAGGAGGAGGGAGGGAGGAGGAGAAGGAGGGAGGGGGAGAAGGAGGAGGAAGAAGAGCGGCTTGACTGCAGTCAGTGGTTTCCCAAGGCGCGTTCAGCGTTGTAGATTTGGTTGCCACTGTTCAGGATATCGCTATCGTGCCTGGGGCACCGGCTCCCGATGGCTGAGGTAGCTCGACATTTCTTGGGTGAACGCCGGCCGTATCAGCTGCAGAGGCTTGTGCCTCACAATTGAAATTGGCGTCCTTGCAGACTTGCATGCCTCTTCGTTTCCCCACCGAGGCAGAGTAGTGTAGCAGGAGGTTGTCGTCCATTCCACTCTGTAGCTGTTTTC